ATGAAGAGGTAACAGAAGACTATCTTGAGGTTGATATCAGCTAGCAAACTGTGCTGGGTCCCACTGACATTTTAATGATTTTGCTTTTTATTATACATAGATGTGAAAATACATAGGAGATTTTTTTTTATATTATCAGAATCAATCAAGTTACTGTCAGGGTGGAAAATGAAAAAGGGTATGGTCAGAAGTCTAATTAGAAGTTTTTCAACAGTCTGGACCATGGTAAACAGTGGTTTGATTATTCGTAGATGTTAATATTGAAAGTGGTGGGGATCATTAGTTTCTGACAATATTTTTAGTATAGATCTTATAGAAGAGCTGCTTTGAGGAAGAAAGCATTTAAAATGGGTCCAGAGTACCTATAAGATGGAGGATGCCTTAAATCACAATGGATATTGAGGTCACCAGGAATTTTTACAAAATTACTTTTGAAGTGTAAGTCTGCTAGCATGACCTGCAGATTTGTTGGTGACTGTGGAAGGTTAGGTTAGAGAGAAGGGAAAATCTGGTCAGATGACAGTAAGAAGGAGACTCACTGTTCTTCACTTTTAAGATACACTATAACCGGAAGAGAAGGGAGAATGTAATGGATAAATCAGGCAAAAGGGGTCAACTGTGTGGTGAGGGATAGAATTCAACTTTTAGTGGTAAGGTTAATGGAGTATATACAGATATTGATTTACAATGATGCACACCTGGAACATTATAATGCAATGCTAGTTCAATAATTAGATATTAAATAATCAAAAGAAAGCATAATAATAAGAAGGGAGAATAACCTAGAATTATCAATAAGGAACTAGAGAGGCATCTACCTAATCTCCATGATTACTAAGAGTGGTATGGAGAGAAAAATCCCCATGTTAGTGAGCTTAGGGAAAATGATGGCCTTTTTATTCTGGGAGAGATTTAAAAGCAGGGAATGATCCACTCTATAGTTTTACATAAGGAAAAAGTATCTATTTACAGTAACAAAAGAAAAAGAAACAGACCTAGAGTGAAATGTGTAGGACTTGTATAAAGAAAATGTTTTTGGAAAAATATTCCTTGCTCACGTATTGGAAAATTTAACATTGCCAAAAGGCCATTTTCCACAAAACAATATAAAGATTCAACACAATTCCAATAAAAATATCGATGGCATTTTTCAAAAAACAGTCTGGTACTGAAATAAAAAGAGCCACACAAACCAATGATGAATAGAATTCAGAGTCCAGAATAAACCCATGAATGTATGGTCAGATAATCTATGAATAAGGAGCAAAAACATACACTGGAACAAGGATAGCCTGTCCAATAAATGGTTTTGGGAAAACTGGACAGCTACATGCAAAAAATAAGACTAGACCTTGATCTCACACCATACAACCAAAGTCAGCTCAAAACGGATCTGGGAGTTGTAGGTAAACTCAAAACCATAAAATACAGGAAGAAACAAAGGAAAAGCATTTGATGACATAAGCTTTAGCAATACCTCTAGGGATTCATTAACAACAGCAAGGAAAACAAAAGAGAATATAAATATTTGGGGCTACATCAAACTAAACAGTTTCTATACAGCAAAATAAACCACAATGAAAGCAAAAAGACATACTACAGCATGGAAAAATATATGTGCATACCATATATCTGATAAAGGGCAAATCAAAGATCTACAATGAAGACATAAAACTCTATGAAAACAAATAATGCAATCAAAATATGGATTCTTTTACTAAACAGACACCTCTCCAAAGAAGACATTAAAATGGTCTGCAGGCACATAAAAAATGATCACAATCACTTATTTTAAAGATATGCAAATGAAGAACACAATGAGATATCATGTCACACCTGTGGATAGGGCCCATATTAAAAAACAAACAGAAAAAACAAGTGCTACAGAGGATGTGGAAAATGGGACCCCTCCAAACACTGCTGGTGGGAATGCAAACTGGTGCAGCCCTTATGCAAAGCAGTATGGAAGTGTCTCAAAACATTAAATATGGGTTTGTCAATTGACCCAGGAATTCTACTCCTAGGAATCTGTGCAAAAAATTCAAAATCACTAATTCAAAAGGAAACCTGCACTCTCATGTTTATTGTAGTCCTATTTACTGTAGCTAAATTATGGGAATAACCTAAGCTCCCCAGAACATTTCAGTAGATCAAGAAGATGTGGTATATTGATACACAGCAGAACACTTATCCAGTGATCAAAAAATTTTCATGTAATTTATGGTAACATGGTTGGAGCTTGAAAGGATAATCCTCAGTGAAATAAGTTAGAAGAAGAAAGTAGTGGATGGTCTCACAAATATATGGAACATAAAGTGACTAAATTAATAGTCTGATAAAGACACACTGGAAAACGAGCCCTAGATTGCAGACTACAGAACTGAAGCACCAATGTGCAGAGAGAGCAGAGGAGAAGAAAAAGAGGAAAGGAAGCATAATGGTCAATGGACAAGTTGGTGGTGGGTGTACTATGGTGGTAATACCCAATGGGGGTAGCCCGATATTATCTCAGTTCAGAATAAATGTATGTTAAAAAAAGAAGATATCCCTTGAGGAAAAAAACACTAAGGTGCATAAAGGAAGTTGGAGGAGTAAAGGATAGATATTCTTTAACAGATTTAATATCAAAACAATATAATTTAGCCCTAAGTAATTAACTTAGCAATTGGTTAATAAAAAAGATAGCTAGAAGAACCCCATTAAACTGGTTTATGGAAAGTCAAATAAAAATAATAGAAAAAATAACCATTAAACTTTTTAGGGAAAAAATAGTATGGTAAATTAGCACCACTATATTATAAAGCATAGTTTTAATACTTAACACTTATAATGGTGTAATAGCTCACAAAAAGAGAGATGAACTAATTTAATACAACAGAAATTATAGAATTAAATTCAAATGCATAATGTAATATATGAAACATCTCAAACTATTAAGAAAAATGAAATATCTTGTATATGGGAGGATTGGCACAGTTCCTTGAAAAAATATTACATCAATATCTCCTAGTATGCATGAGGATAAATCTCAAATGTAATGAAGATTTAGATATATCAACATGTATCCTCAAAATCACAAATAGAAAACAGGATAATTTTAACCTGGGATTAATGTATCAATAGAAAAATGGACAAAGGCAGTAAACACAGCATATACAGAAAATGTAAATACAACTGGCTCTTAAACATAGAAAATATTCTTAAACTCACTAATAAGTAAATGCATAAAAATAGATGCTATTTATTTTACTTGTCAGATTGTCAAAAATCCAAATGTTTGACATGACGTAAGATGTTCAGAATTGCTCATTCTTAGACTTGGTGTTCAGATATAAATTAAAGCTCCATAGAACACAATTTGACAGTTACTTCTAAAATTTATAATTGCATACGCCATTTTTTCTTACTTCTGGGAATTTACTTTTTTATGAAATTGTATATATTAAAAATGATTTTATTTTTCATTTTCAATGTTATGCATTCCTTCACTGACAGTGAAAGAGAAACTAAAATTTTAAAATCCACCAATTGTGTGATTATTATTTTTTTTGAGATTTATTTTATGTATACAAGAGCTGGGGTACAGGCCAGATGCACAGGAGGGTGAGAGGACTCACCACAGACAGAGCGGGGAACAGAACAGGCAGACTGATGAAATACACTGCTGAAGGGAGCAGCGGGCGCGACAGAAGAGGTCTGCTCGCCATGTGGGTTGCTCGGAGGCCGGCGGGGATCGAAGCGGCACTGTAGAGGCTGCACACAGCTTTACAGTGCTGCACTCAACAGCCTCCACCACCAGGGAGGCCCCACGAATTGTGTGATTCCTAAATAGTATTATATATATATGAAGAAATAATATATGGCTGTGAAAAAAGTTTACATGTGAAAACAACTCCAAAATATCTTGGGGATGGGGAAAAAAAAGAAAAATACAGCAATGTAATGATTTCCATTTGCATTTTCTTTATATGCATCTTAAAAATCTGGAAACAAGCAAGAAATTAATAAAAATGAATATTTCAGGCTGAGTATTAGATAGATACAATTGTAACAGAAGTCATTTTACTTTCTATTCTTTTTTACTGTCTGTCACTTACCAGTATTGTACAGAGAATAGAGTTGACCCTCACTAGTCTGAAATTCCACATCCAAGTATTTAACCAATAATGGATAGATAACAGTTTCTGTATAATTAGGACTGTGATGGCAACACACTAAACATGTGCAGCCTGTTTTCTTGTTATTATTTCCTAAACAATATAACAATGTTTTACATGGAATTTACATTATTTTGATACATAATTTAAACTCTACAGAAAGATGTGCATAGGTTATATGCAGAGACTGTCATTTTATATAAGGGACTTGAACATCTGTGGATTTTGGTATCCTCAGACATTCTAAAGCCATTCTCTCTGAGAGAAGACTAAGTCTATGGGTGGATGGATGGATGGATGGATGGTTGGATAGATGGATGGGTGAACAGATACAGAGATACAGACAGATGATGGATGATAGATTTCAAAGATAAATAATATATTCTATAGAATAAACATTTTCAAACAGTAAAATACTTATTAAATTGTTATATAATTAAAGGTATGTAATATTGTATATTTAAATAATTATTCAGATGTTGAGAGGTAGATTCAAAACCTGGAGATGATACATATTACTGCTACATCTGTGACCTGTCCACTTTTTAGTAATAAATTGGATATACACCTCCAATACTACCAACCTATGTAATTAAAACAAAGACATATATCCTTAAATTCCATGAAATCATATTAAATTATTTGGGGGTTTATTTTTTTCCTTAACTGCTGCTATCCCACAATTTAACAAAATCATAATACGCAATTCCTGAGACTAAGGTCTGATTCTCTGATCTAATTTAGAGCTTATAAGACAAAAGGATGCTTGCTGCACTTCTTAAATTTAATTATGGGGTGAAAGAGGAATGATGAAAAGACCGCATTGGTTCTAATATAAATTACCTTCTCTCTGCTGGAGGAGCATTATCAGCTGCTTGGACCGTAAGTGCGTAAGTCTGCCCAACTATCAATTCCACCCCGGCAGCGATGGTGATAAGCCCTGTTGTTTTATTGATGACGAAGTCTCCCTGAGCACCAACCAGGATTTCATATGTGATCTCCCCATTAGACCCTTCATCTGCGTCGACTGCAGTGAGCTGGAATTGAAAATTACAACATAAATCCTCTTGGGACACAACTTTTCACCACTGTGTTATCCTTCCCCCAACAACAACAACAAAAACTTGTTTTCAAAAACAACAAAGTAAAGAAAGTTCTCTTGGCACATTTACAGTTGTTTTCTTGATGGAAGACTACAAAAAGAACGACATTTATTAATTTCAAGAAGTAAAATTAAGGAAATAATGATTTAATATGTTAAATAAGGTTCCTTGAATTTCTGATAAATATGAAATATAAATTCTAGTGAAAAAACATATGTACATTTTACAAACTCACTGAAATCTATATGTTTAATTATATCAAAATGTAGTGAAGAAACCTAGGTGGCCTCAAATTGCACATGAGGGCAAAACTAAAAGTTTTTCACTGAATTAAGAAAACACACTTGATTATAATAAATATACCTGTAGAAAATTTTTCTTATTTACTGACATTTTCTTATGTACTTTTCAACTCTGTGTCTTCTATAAATCAGTAGTTCTTTATCATTCACAGAGATTTTGGGGAGTTACTGATGGACACTATCATGCACTTTTTAGACAAAATGTGACCATGCACATTTACCTTAACACTTGAGGTCAATTTCAGGAATTTCAAATAAATGAATGTCCTATTCAAGTTGCAAGTTTACTATTCTGATAAAATGTAAAGAAAGTAAAGTTCGCCATCATGCTTAAGGAGATAATTTATGCATATTTTATTTCAATTTTTATTACATACTTCTTGCAGAGTAGTAATGTGCACAGAAATAGCAGCACAGAATAATTTGGAGGAAAAATTTGAGAGACTGTCATTAATTCTGTTAAGTCTAAGAATGGGTATTTGGGGGTAGACAGATGTGGCTGACAGAAGGAAATGCATTTCATAAAAAGATTCTGGGACTTACATGAGAATGACATAGTCCTAAAGGCAAAGGAGAAGGAAACTATTTGCCAAAACAGTCAAACAGAATGATATATATTTATGGAGAATTATTCAAGCCAGACAAATCCATTCTCTTTTGTGTGTGGATAAAATTAGAAAATTAGGTGGGGGGAAGCACAGGCAGTATCAATTTTGATTATAGTAAATCACTTAACACAATGTCTCAGGAAATCTTAATTAAAATTTAGCTCAAATTGGATTCAATATTAACATTCTTCCTGGGACTTAAATTGGCTAAAGGAATTTAATGATAAATGGCAAGTCATCAAGTTAAGAAGTATTGAAGAGTGTGCTTCAGGGATGTAGGTATTATGATTGATCTTATTTAACATTTTCATAAATGATATTGGAAGGAAGGGGATAAGCTGGATGATATTTAAATGGAAGAGGGCACCCATCTGGGAGATGATGTAAATACCAAACAGCACTGCAAAACAAGGGTGATAAAAATACCCCTAAAACTGCAGAGCCAGTCAACCACAGATAAGCTAATGTGTTCAGGAAACACAACTACTGTGACAGAATAATTTAGAGGAAAAAAGTAAATTTGAGAGACAGTCATTAATTCTTCTCAGTCTAAGAATTGGTATTTGGGGTAGACAGATGTGGCTGACAGAAGGAAACTATTAAAAAATATTAGAAAGGAAATTTAATGAACCAGAAGTGAATTACATTTTTAGATTACTTAAATTATATTATGCTATTTTTTCAGCTTTAGTACTAAGTAATGCAATAGCAGGTTAAGAATCAACACACATGACTTCACTCACATAAACAAAAATGTTTTGAAGAAATTATTGGTAAACCAAGGTTAGAAAGGGGGAACTAAGACATTAACTCTGCATATTCACAAAATATCTCTGATTAATATATTTCAATCTATTAGAGGAAATCTGCATCCTAAGTTAGAAAGGAATGATGAAGGGGCTAATTTACAAAGAAAGCCAGTTTACATGTTATCAGCTGAAACTAAAGTGAAATTTATGGACTTTAATTGATTTATGTAGATGTTGTCATATCTAAATGGTAAGAAATACTGTTATTTTGTGAATAGAAAGGTCAGTCTTACCTCCCACAATTCTTACCTCTTGGTTTTGTAATATGTACATATTCCAGATATCTTTAGCCCCTCTTACTCCCACATATTAAAAAAAAAAAAAAAGATTTGTCCCTGATATCCTTTGTAGTCTGGCTGCAGCCAATTTGTATCTTCAATTTCTCTTTAATGCCTTTGAGACATATGATTTTGTATAAAAGGATAAATGTAAAGAATACTAAATAATAAAATAGTGAAAAATTCAAATTGGAATTTCAAAATGAATCAGGGATAGAAAAGTTATAGTTGATGAAAAGCATGAGCATAGTACTTTTTATGAATAAACTTTTTCAGCAAACGTTATATCTAAATTAATATGAAATAAATGCGTTGGCCATTTGACACTTTAACATTCTAGGCAGGCTGGGTCTTTTTTTCTAATATGACACCTAACAGATGAAGTGATTTAGGGGCTGTGACAAAGAGTCTGAGATTCACTATGTGGGGCAACTAAATAATGAAACAATTTACTTATATTTGATTTTAATATATGCAGAGTAGCCTTTACATTGCTAATGCACTTCACATCTGATTTAGATCTACACCATAACCTTCTGCTGTTATAGAAAGAGATTTTCTGCAGTATACAAATACAAATTTGGCACTTGTAACAATAAAAGAGCAGAATACCTGCAAATCCTGTGCAGAATACCTCATCATCTAAATATTTACTCAAATCTATTACTTTTTATGACTGAGATATTCTTGTAATAAGGGATTTTTTTATATTCTAACTTCCAATGAAATTCACCAACCAATTAGGAAGGGTGAGAAATGGTGAGAATTCCCTTAATTGGTATTAGCTTAGTAATCACCCTCTGCCCATTCCACTATCTCAGAAACTCAGAAAGTGTCTGAGGCTTGGTTTATTTTGATTTTTAGCTAAGGTAGAAAGACACTGTTATGTTTCAAAATTCACTTTTCTTTTCTGTTATGTCATGCTGATTCCTTTCATTTTGTGTTCTACATTTAATAAGGTATATTTTTTCTTTTTTTTTCTTTTATACTTGTGAGAGTATAAGAAGCATGGTTTTTGAAGACTTCTGTAATAAATTAAAAAAAAACAATTTGCTATATTTTAATTTTCAGGTGGTATTTATGCTGATTATTTGTACACTATTTGGGGAAACAGTGGGAATGATTATCCCTAGGAGAATAAAGACCAGTGAAAATGTCAACAGAGTTGACATTGAGTAAATTCATGCTACATTCAAAAAAGTGACGGGTGAAGATAATGATTGGCAGTTTTGGTCTGGGCAGGTACCAGTGGCAAGGCTATTGGCTTATCCAGGAGTCTGGGAGAAGGGGAGCAGAGGTTATGTGGAGACACACTGCCTGGACAGAGGGAAAAGCCTGTGGAAAAGCTGAGGTGCTCCAAACAGACTGGGTCTATAATTAATAGCAGAGAAAACATTCTAACCTAACCCCTCTTCTCATCCTATGGGACTGGTGATTATATTTTGCAACACACCGAAAGCATGTAGTCTCTCATTCCAAACATTGGAGAGGATGGATGTTGGGGGTGCCACAAATGTGAGCCAATCCAACCCTAACTCATCCATACAAATGTCTGGACCTCTCAAATTCTCTCCCCCTCCCACTGCTGACTCAGCAACTTTAAGGCAAATGTGAGTACATGCAGAACCAAGGTAGAGGACAAAATAAATAAAATCAAGAAAACCACAACACCAACTGCTGGGAAAATAAAATAGTTTAAACTGCTAAGTTATCACTGAATATATTTATTTAAAATATTAAAATAGGCTGATCTCAAGTAGCAAAGAGGGGAGACAAAAATCTAACACTTGGAAATATGAGAACACAATAGATTGTGACATTACATGGTGAGTACAACTCTTCAAAATCCAAACATAAAAAGATGGAAGATAACTAACAGATATTTCAGAACTCCTATAATAAAGAAACTATAGAGGAAATATCAGAAAGACAAGTTAAAACATTATAAAAAATTTCCAAAAGGTAAGTCAAATAAACACAAGTGAACTCAGCAAAGCTAGTCAAAGAGACACCACAAAATTCAGAAAAATAAGTTAATAGGTTCACAGTTAAAATAAATGAAAGGAAGGGTGTAATTGAAGCTTTAAAAAGGAAATAGGGCCTCCCTGGTGGTGCAATAGTTAAAGACACAGTGCTATAAAGCCAACACAGTCACTGCAGCATGAGTTTGATCCCCAGCCAGGCTGGCCAGGGAGCTAACCCACACGGTGCAGCAGACCTCTCTTGTCTCCCACTGTTCCCCTCAGCAGTGTATTTCAGTAGATCTGTCTGTTCTGCTCCCCACTCTCTCTGATATATCCTCCCACTGCCTCCCTGCTGCTCTGGCCTACACCCCAGTTCTTGCATGCATGCATGCATAAATGTTTACAAAAGGAAATAATTGAAATATTCAGGGGGTTAAGAGCATAATGAATAAGATTAAGAATTTCCAGAAAAAACTATGTAGGTTGAATAGAAGGAGAACCCTTAAAGGCGGACCTAGAGCAAGTGGGATTAACAGACATCTACAGAATGCTCCACTGAAAAACTGATTAATATGTTTTTTTTCAATGTATATAACATTTCAAGTATATACATTTGTTGGAACAACAAGTTATTGTGAATAAGACAACAAAAGTTGAAATCATAACAGATATACTTTCTGATCGTAATTTCATAAACTGGAAACAACTTAGAAAAGGAAAAAGTCATAAGTACATTGAGTCTTAATGATATGTTGCTTAATGACTATTAGATTCTAGAGGAATTTATAGCAAAAATTGAAAAATACAGCTTGAGATGAATGAAATTGAGGACAGAACCTATCAGAACTTAATGGATGCAGAAAAGTTGTCTGAAAGGAAAGATAACTTCAACAGAGTCCATATTAGGTACCAAGACAAATTCCAAATAGCCAACTTGATATTACACCTAAATAACTTGGACAAAGAGGAACAA